GCGTAAGCAGGATTTTTTCGAGGGGGGGTTAAAATTTAAAAATCTCGCCGTAAATTTCACAACGACTCAGCCAGCCGCTGTATAAGCGGGGGGGGGGGGGTAAGAACACCCCCCCCCCCCCAGCGTACGCGCCTGCCTACGAGTTTGTGTGTGAACATTCGTTTATTAAAATAGTGTTCATCAGTCGCACTATATGGTCGACTTTCTATAATGCTCTGTTCGTGTCATAGAAATTTCAATAATATTATTATGCAATTATAATGTTTACTCTAAAAGAAACCTTATACTGTAACACTACAGTAATAAATACCAATTAAATGAGTAGAAATTGAGACGTTATTTCGCTGTAACAAGCCAAGCATAGATTTAATGTTTCAAACTGCTGCACATAATATATCACATCTATATAGTGAAACCAAGTGTAGAAAAGTACTTTTTACAATTCCAAATTCATGAACACTTCTGTACGAGACACAAATTTTGAGGAATAAGATATTTACACGGACAATGTCACTTCGCAATTATGTTTATAAGAAGAGCAAAATAAAATCTTGTTACTAATATACATTTTAGTCAAATTACTTATTTCTTAGTCACAGTAGCAAAACCTTATCCAAATCGATCAATTTCGGGCTATTCGTCGTAAAGTAACTTCTTGGTGTTGGTCTACCATCTTTCTCTTCGGTATGACTTGGTATTAATCTATCTTTATTTAAAATGTTAATGACAATTCACAATCAAATTTTGTATATATAGTTAAATGGCTGATGATTACGCATTAAACACTACTTATTTTGTCTGGTTGATACACTTTGTGATAATAAAGTGATATCCTAGGCAAAAAAGAAGGGTTATTTTATGACTTGTCTTTACCACTCGTCAGATTGTCAGACATTTTACTGGAATGACAGTTCGTAATGCCTTTGCCTATATTCATGTCCTGGTATTTCTTTGTTTCAGACTTCACCAGGCTTGTATTGTACCCTGTTGTAAGGAACGTTTATTTCTGGCCCAATATGTGTGAGTTTCTTTTCATATTTATTTTAATCAAACCAAAGTGAATCAATGATTCGCATCGACATATATTTCGCTCAGTGGGGAGGGGGGAGGGGGGGGGGGGAGTGAGCAATTTGTTTTTTTTACCAATCACACCCCCCCCCCCTTGAACAAAAATACCAAAAAAAATGAGGGGGGTGAACCCCCTAAACACCCCCCCCCCCCCCTCCCTGCGTCCTCGCCTGACATGGACAGGTATATCGGTGTGCCTTCGTTGTATATAATATTAGTTTCTACATTCAGATTATGTCATCCGCATTTAACTTTTTAATGTTGTACATTTTATTCATATTCATATTCATATTTATTTCATTTCCAACAGAAAGGTAAACATAGATATTACATTTGATTTCATACATAATTCATTTTTTCAAGAAACTATACAAAACTTTGCACATAATACAATTATTACAAGAATTTCTTAATTTCTGGGGAAATGGGGGGATCCACTAAAAAGCAGTGCTTGTAGGTTGTGGATCCCCCAGAAAAAAATTAAAATATAAATGTTTCAAATTTTGCCTACGAAGACTTAGAAAACACAAGACAATATTATTAAAGCCCTAAGCCATTGATTAATTGCCTGCCCTAATCATAGTTTCAGATTGTATTATCAGCTCAAAAATATGGCTTTACATTTAATGCAAAAACTTATCACTGACAGAGTTCGATTTTGGGTAAAGCTAAAAGTGCTTCGTAACTTTGGTTAAATGTATCAATCAATCAATCAATCAATCAATTATACAAACTATATTTGTATCGAAAATAATATCGCTAGTGATATTCGTTTGTCTCGCAATGCGGTCAATAAGGAATCTAAAAGTTCACGACGTTTCGTGTGCATCTGCAACACTTCATCTGGTGATAATAACTACTGTAAGCAAGGGTCTTTTATACTCTACGGGAGGACCGGCGGAGCGGTCCATAATTCGATCGATAATTGGAAAAATAACGCACAATGCCTATTGGTCGACGCACACGGTGATCGACCAATCACCAGGCCGTTGGATTCGGCCGCTGGTTCGGCTAATGCACCAGGCCTATTGGCCGACGAATACGGTACTCAACCAATCAAAATTTTGATTGCTACACTCTAGTGACGTAGCTACAGGGTGCATACGGACAGGTGCCTTCCTGTATTAAGGCGTGGAAATTGAATAGAAAAATTACGAAGAGAAAAAGGGAAGATGGACAACTAAGAAACGACTTGATCACATCTTACAACTTTCTCTAACCAGTCACTTTGTAACTTTGAATTTCATTTTCTGAGTTAGCCCCCCCCCCCCTCAAATAAAAGGAAACAATTCGTTCCAGTGCCCGCTTAATTGGTTGACTTAAGTTACGCCACTGCTCTAAACATGTGTACACTTCCAAAAACTGAATCAGTGAAACAAGCCAGTTTTGTGTCATAAAAAAATATATATATGAACACTGAATTGAACTCAAACACTAGCCTACGCAGTTTAGTGACACGAAATACGTGAATGGTTCCGAACACCAGATTTGTGAAATATGTCAGCTTTGTGTATTAAAATAATATAAATGTACATGAAACACTGAACTTAAGTTTGAAGTCAATGACATTGAACGAGTCAACAGCTAGAACGTAGAAGTACCGATTGTTGCAAATGATTCAGTAATACTGTTTTTCATTTGTACTCTACAAAAGATTTAGTCAAGATAACATAATATTTCTCTAAACAACGACTTTCAGATCAGGTTGTTGTAAAAATGCGTAATATGACAAAATTCCTATCATCAAAAGCTATACATGAATAGTGATTTAGGCAGTATGTCAAGAATATAAATCTATAGTAAAGGCATAGCAGTCACAAGCGGCTGCATAATTTTTCAAAGAGGGGGGGGGGGGGGGCGGGGTCCAATCACCCCAAAATTCTGACAAGCAAAAAAAGGTTATCAGATTCGGCTGTGCTGATATTTCACCTTAAAATTGTTGACAATGAAACATAAGGGTGACCCTCACCTCCCCCTATTATCATCATCCCTGATTAAAGGTAAAGACCAGTTATGGTCATGCGATTGCATTGTGAAAGAAACGTTGTGGAATCGATCAGAAAAGGTTGATCATTTAGCATCTAGTATCTGCAAGGTTCTGGAATCATCAAAATGATAAGAAATTTGGCCCATTCTTCGTAAAGTTACAAGCACTATACACAGAAAGATGTATATGGGACTACCCTATATCTCTCACAGACCATGAGAGAAACAAATTTACCAAATATATGAATTAGTAGGCGGTTTCCCGGCAAATTTGTTATCATCATGTATTAGTCAAAACATATTCTTTCACATGATTGGTAATGAGAGCTTCCATTTAATTTTTTGAAATTGGGGCGTTTCCAATACTGGTCTTTACCTTTAAGTTTTGGTATTTTTGAGGGATGGCGATTGTGTTGCGTAGTTGTTAGGGTTACGTCTTCATATGATACATCAATTCTTCTTGCTTCTATAAATAGTTGTGGAATCCCTATTGATCAGCTAGCTTTATTGTGGCATGATGTGATATCTGGTAGGACGCCACCTTGTGTTGAAATTATTATTATTTTTTTTTTTTTTTTTTTTTAATAAATCTTTATTCAGATAAAATGATGGATAACATCTTAGTACATAAATATTCATAACAAAGTACTTAATCACATGTCTAAATGAGGTTGTGTTGAAACCCTAACCCTGACCCTAACACTAACCCTAACCCTATTCATATCAAAGCACTTAATGACATGTCTAAATGAGGTTGTGTTGAAACCCTAACCCTGACCCTAACCCTAACCCTAACCCTATTCATAACAAAGCACTTAATCACATGTCTAAATGAGGTTGTGTTGAAATTATGTAAACAACACAATCGCAACAAAAAGTAGTTTCAAAAATCAACTCAAGAGTATAATGTCAATATTCGATTGTATATCATAAAGGACTCATGCTCAGATTACGTAATACATCATTGTTATCTCGCGTATTTCTAGGTGTTAGAAAGGGCTATAGAAGTTGATTTCCCAAGAAAAAATGCGATTGTGTTGAACATGTTCCTTCTAAACAATGGACCATTAAGTCGATGTTTGAGATTCAATGCAATGTGTTCAACATCATTCAGGCATTTATGTTATCAAAAACGATATGGTCATAGTGTACTGGTGTTTTTTTTTGTATCACAAAAAAATATTTACCCGTTGACTACTCAATCAACTAATACCCGAATGCTTATGAATCCAGGGCGTGTTTCATAAAGCTGTTAGTAAAGTAACGCATGACTTTACGAACGACTTGTATATGAAGTGCCAGATAGGATGCCCAAAGTTTTTTTCCAATATTTCCAATAACCTAAATTAAATTATGAACAAAAATATACTTTGCATTAAAAAGTTGTTATAATAAAAATTTTAATCTACATCTGCACCAGGCGCGTACGCAGGATTTTTTCAAGGGGGGGGGGGGGGTTAACATTTTTAAATCGGGCCGAAAATTTCGCATCGACTCAGCCAGCCGCTGAATAAGCGGGGGGGGGGGGGGGTAAGAGGACACTTTTTTTTTTTGGGGGGGGGGTCTCGCAATTTGAAAAATTGACATTTTCCTCCGTTGGGGGGGGGGTTAGGTCGCCTTTTTTAGGTCAGCCATGGGAATAAATTTTGTTTATTTTTTAATTTTTTATTATTATTTAAAAAAACAAAACCCAAAGGGGATTTTTTTTTTTTTTAGGGGGGTTTATACACATAAAAATACCAAAGGGGGGGTTTAACCCCCCAAACACCCCCCCCCCCCCCCCCCCCCCCGCGTACGCACCTGATCTGCACAGTTTAACTTTAATTGATGTAGTTAATAATGATTGAGCATCTCATTTGGCAAGAGTTTTGTTTGTTCATTTTAGATTTGAAATTATGATAATCAAGTCAATGCTCAATGCACCATAAATAAGTGGATCAACTATGCCCACTTAAACCAGGCCTAAAAATAAGCTCGCGTTTAGAAATATTAGCCCTTGAAAACATATTTAGCATTTGGAATTGGATTGTCTATTGCATTTTTCATTTTCCCTAAATTTATCATAGCTGAATAATGTGCAGTGGAGAAAGGAAAAGGTTTCAACAATTATGAAATAAATTTCAAAGTTCACTCCAAAAAATGAGTTCGTTGAACGCAATCCATATGATGCTTGGTTATGTACAACAAGGGGGAAAAGATCTTAATATTTCAATACTTTAAGCATTAAAATTTACATTCATTTTCTTAGAATTTACTCCATATTTTGAACGTTAAGCGACTCCTGTGCTACATACAGTGCTTTGACATCATCCATACTCTCCTGTTTGTTTAATGTGTTTCGGAGATTGTCTGTAGTTGTCGGACGATCAAGAGCACTGGAGAGGGTAATAAAGAGAGTAGAAGGAGGGGGGTCGATGTCACCCCTTCTCTTCTTAGCTTCCAGTCGCACTGATCTTCTTGTTTTCTTTGAATCCTTAGCCATCTGAGAGTCTTGCTTATGTCCTTCTTCTCCTGGAGGTAGTCCAGTTCCAAGCGACTTTTGAGGATCTTGAGGAGTGTGTCTTGGACCCAGTTGTCGCTGTTTCTTGTTAGCTAACGCCTTGCCGTTCCGCTGGTTGCTAGGTGTGGGCGTAAAGCCCGGTGCAACGCGATTTCTACATAGCAACCGTGCAAGGCAACTGTTAGCGAAAGCGCGACGAAAGTTTCTACGCATGAACACATAAAGGATTGGATGCATAAGAATAGTGGTGTATGCTAGGGCGGCAAACCACCATTCAAGTAAATCATATAGCTCTGTCCTGCCTTTCACTAAAATCACAATACTTATAGCGGTGTGAGGCCCCCAACAAATTATAAATGTTGACAAAATAATCGTCGTCGTGCGGGATACGCGTTTCTCGGGATCACGATGCGCAGACGAAGGCGTATTTTCCCGTTCAATCTGCTTACTATTATTCCCTTGCTGATCTGCGCGCATGTGAAAGGGCACTGTGGTTGCTCTCACTAATGCGTTATGAATAGTCTTGACTCGAGTCACTCGAATGATAGAATAATAAGCGTACATCATGACTGCAGATGCAAGAAAGAATATTGGAACGTGATACAATTCATAATAGTTATTAGACCTTGTGACCTGAAACCACTCATAACAGAGAGCTGGTCTTGTTGTATTTCCATCTTTAAAAGTAACCATGAAATCGCCTCGAATTCCGACAAACGGCGTGACAAAGCCTATCAGTGACATGACCCAGGTCACTCCTATGATCCACTTCACATTCCGAACTGATATACGTCTTTTGATTGGGTTTGTAATCTTATCATGACGGTCCAGCGAAATCACGAGTACGTTCATGGCAGAAGCGACACTCGCGAAACTAATCGTCGCCTCATGAATGTAGCAAACAAATGGATTATTCCATGCACGTATGATCACAATGAGTGTAAGCGGAATAGACACAACGCATATCACAAGGTCAACGAGGTTCATATTTGTGATAATCAAATCACTGGCATTCTGCTGGAACTGCTTATTGACATGGTAGCTTAATAATACCAGCATATTACTCAGAAATCCAGCTACCATCTCTACAACGAGGATCAGCGAAATGCTGATGACGTAGGGCAGTGCGTATCCTTCCGCTGCCGCCATTTTGATACCATGCGTGTGTTCGTAGACCACTCCTAAAAAACACTTGTTGATTTATTACAGCGACATGGCGTCCAATTAGTCATTGTTTTCGTTAAACAGATACTTTACACAATGAACTTCTTGCACTTCAAATACACGTATAGTTCTGTATGATCAAAATGTAGAGTCTGTTCAGATTGAAGCAATGACACCAAAAGGGTTAAATAAACGTTTTCCTTTCAGATTAGAAAGTTATAAATGCCTTCCATATTAGAGATGAATTTTAAAAAATCAGGTTTTTCGCTTTAGGAGTACTTCAGACAAGAGCGATGATGAACATATTTATTAAAAAAACAAGTATGACTGCTTTAAGATTCGATAATGATACTCTGTAGAAAAACACATATCCCATTGCAAGCCGGTTGTTGTATCAGGTTGTTATCATTATTAAGAAGAGTTGGATCGATACTCCTTATTTTCCCGTAAAACCATGTAACAACTCTGGTTATCTGCGGCAATGTTTCAAGGTGATGAAACTACTTTATTTGTGAAGGTTGTGTAGTTATAACCATGAACGGTGATGATTACGCACTCTGCAAGAGGTGTGATTTCTCTCGGAATAGATGATAATCCAAACAGATTATGATAAAAAAAAAACTTCTTTGATGATAACTTCATCTCGTAGTCGATATTACTACGAGGAAGTAGGAATGAAACTCACTATTCCCACCTAGCCTCTTTCGTACCTCCTTGAGTCGAGATCGATGGGTTATGGCCGCTAATAAACGCCTTCTCCTTTGTTCTCTCTCTGTAAACACCCTAAAACCGCAAGAAAGGATGGGTTACGATGAGACTTGAATAATGAAGCCAAAACATGCACGCCAGCATCTCAGCGGTCACGTGTCGTCTTGCTATGCGTAGTAGATGAGAAACGACACTTAATTCTCTGTCACCTACATTAGGGTAGAGACTCTGCACACTGATTCATCTTCGTGTCGTAATCCACATTCACAATCTCCATCTGTATGTAAACGAGATAAGAATAATTTTAGACGTAAAATCGGAGAGGTTCTTCACAAATCTGAATTTTAGAATGTTAAATGGGACTTGAGTGGTAATAAATTTGCATTTCCCGCCCGGCCGGCATTTATATGTACTGCAGAGATATGAAAGTGATGGTTTGGGAAGTTTAGTTGGAAGGCAAATCTTACGAGTAATCTAAACCCAGAGAATATTTCTTTTAAAGCGCGTTGAATATAATGAAATTCAGAAGTTTAGAAAAATTTATGAAGCGAATGAAATACTTTGTTTGGTATTATTTCTGCATTTTAAAACATAATACAAAGTAATATAAAAACTCGGTAAATAAATATCATTAACGAAAGTCAAAGTACATATACATGTTTATATATATTATACATAATCATATCATGATATTAATCTATTAAATAATTATATCTTTCAAAAAAATATATAGTTGACAAATTCTTTTAACATGCAATAATGCAGGACAGCCATTTTTAGGAAGAGTTTGCACGTGATGGCGGCCAGAGGAAATGAAATAAACATCACAATAAAAACACAGAGCATATGATGATAATGGTGATCATTTTGGTAACTATCATTCCTCCCCCCCCCCCCCCCATGACAAAATTGACCTATTTCATGGCACACAAAAAAGTGTTTTCAATATTTAACATCATATTTTGTAAATGAAAACAAATACCAATCTACATAACAAGGCGTAATAGCAAAAAGTATTTATTCTCTCAATTTATTTTGCTGTCTCGAAATCAAACTTATTCTATTCACTAGCTATCTGATAACTAGTAAGGATGTGACATGCAGATGATGGGTTGGTATTAATATTAGCATCTTTCCCATCCAGATGCCCTACTTTGTATTTATACTGGCACCTGGCTGCCTTTTACAAATAAAATTGATATTCAAGTTGATACTACAAAAGACGCTAATTCGAAATACACAACATTAATATGTTACTTATATTTGTTTCTGTTGAATCATACTTAGGGATAGAGGAAGATTCAAAATGCCATGTGGGCCAAAATACTTGTAATCGTGTCTAGAGAGACCATAAAAACAGAAAGAAATCCTCAGTGCAAAAAAATCATAGAGATCCTATATTATGAGGTGTCAATGTATATATTTCAAAGCTTAAACGATGACTACTAAATATCCATTGACGCAAGACGCATTAATTTTGTACTAATTCACATAATAGCCGCGCCCGTCTACCTACTATTTTACCATCTGTATCTCGTTACGAATTTGCACTTAAATTATCGAGCTCTAGCTTCCAACTCTCCACACTTAAGGCTTGTTCAGATATGACATGGCGAAACCACGGCGGTTTTTATTTTCTTCATGGCGTTCAGTTTATACCCTTCCCAGTTCTGTATGTTATCACACAGACCTCAGTGAATGTGCACAAGTCCTTTGCTGCGTACAATTGCCATTCATTGACATGTACAAACAAAAACGCGGCGGCTTTTTTTTCTCGACGGTTTCACGCACCATATCTGAACAGACTTTTACTCTAGTCCTGTCTTCAAACATTATCTCCTTCATTCGCATAAAAGGCTCTTATCAAGAACAGCCATGCATAGCCGTGCCGTGCATCCTGATATCTATCTAACGGCAATATACGCCATTCGTTCAGTATCGGGCTACATACAGTAGAGATCGAAAGATACCATGGCTATAAGGCCAAGCCACATCACTTATAATCATAGCTATAGCTATCATTCTGGCTTAGGAGAGAGTTGGGTTCTGATGGAGACGAGGAATAATTGTGAGCTCTCACATTGTTTTATATAAGTTTGGAAGAATATCGCCCTAAAAATAAAAAAATAAGATTTACATAATCAACCTTTTCCATTGCTTTTATAGAGAGTTTCCGTTCACAAATAAAATGACCATTACTCAGCTCCTGAAAGCTATCATTTTCTAATGATTCCCAACACTTGCTATTATTTTTTTGACAATCAGTGAAACAATATGTAGTTAATAAAAAATAGTTTCTTTGCATTTATTTGCATTACCTCTCCCTGACACAAAGCATTTCATCATCGCACATTAGCTGCAGGACGCTGCAGGAAGCTGCAGGAAGTTGCTTATCGCGTGAGGGTTCAAGGTTCAAGGTTGAACGGTCAAGGTTCCAATGTGTTAACGGTCACAACATTTGGAACTTAACATCAAACCATGAATCATGATAAAAAGCTATATACACATTTGATTACCGCCAATGTGGAATTTGGAGTGAACTTTAACACACAAACAAAGCGAAATAAAATGTCGTTACACATAGAAATAGGAGTGAAGTGTACCCCGAGTATGAAACACGAACATCCCATGTGTGTAGGGACATTACAGAAGTCATCCATATTCAGAGAAAGAGAGAGGGGAGGGAGAGAGAAGGGGAAAGAGAGAGAGAGAGAGAGAGAGACGTGGTTGTATCCATCTTGAAATGGATTCTTGATGTATACGATGACATTCTACCATGAAGGTTACCTCGTGCGCATTTTGAGTCAAAATACGTAAACTAGAAGATGGAGAGGAAAACATATAGATAAAGGATGGTGCCCAAATTTCAAGTGGGAAATTCCCGTATAATGATACAACACAATCGAAAAGGTGAGTGAGCAGTATTTTTGAAGGTGATGGAGAAATCACCAAGCATTAAAGGGTGTATTGAATTCCTCCTACTGTTGCCAGATAACTGTACAATGTAACACCGTGATTCCCGTTTTCCACAGAACTACCAATAGACGGATGTTCATTTAGTTCTATTTATTCAATTTATATCGAGGAGCACTTCAATTGATATACATATAATATGCGGAACTTCACAATTAACCCTCCTATATGCCGCATGGTTTGAGATCAGAATACACGGTAAACAATTTTCACTTCATCCTTTGTCTCAAATCTGAAAGGTCATAATCATAGTGTGCACAGTTCGTGTGGTAGAAGTTGCATGATATGCATATCCCAGAAGGAGATAGAGAGAGGACGTAAGGAGAAAAATATAGATTTGGAGGGGGGAGCATATGAATAAATCTATTTTCAAATATCTTAAGATCTCATACATTTATATGCACTTTGTGATATCTGGTTTGTTACTAGCCGGTTATCTACCCTTGCTGTACTCTGTGCTTTCTGTTCCAATCTCTGAAAGGTCAAATGAAAATCAAGTCATATCTCAAAGAGAAAAAATGAGAAGGGAAGAGAGTCAGGAGGACGGACAGGACAAGGGATAGAGAGAGGTGGACGGTAGAAGAAATAGAGAGTGAAGACGAGAGGGAGAGTTGAGGAGAGAGAGAGAGAGGGAGAGAGAGAGAGAGAGAGAGGGAGAGAGAGAGAGAGGTATGGATCTTAGAAGGAAGAGGAGAGAGGATGAGGACAGAGAGAAGGATGGGGGGAGAGAGAGGTGGACGCTAGGAGTAAGAGAGACATGAGAAAGGAGAGAGAAGATGGACCTTAGACGGAATAAGATAGAGTGAGGAGGAGAGAGAGTGAGGAGGAGAGAGACAGAGAGAAGGAGGGAAGAAGGGAGAGTCGATAAAGAAGGGACATGAAGAGGATGATAATATTCAGAAGATAAGAAGATAAATGTTGCCTAATCCTTGGGATCTCGTATTACTCCATCGTATAAAAGCCAGCCTAGTGGGTCCATAGTAGATAAAGGTGATTGGGAGAGGGAGGCCCGGGCTGGATCTTTCACAGTATGGTGTTTATAAAAGAAAATAGTAAATGCAAAACAATGTTAGAAACGAATGGTGTACAGATAAAGAGGAAGGGTAAACTATGCAAATAGAAGGGAAGAAGTAGTAGTAGAATAGTAGTAGTAGTATTAGTAGTAGTAGTAGTAGTAGTAGTAGTAGTAGTAGTAGTAGTAGTAGTAGTAGTAGTAGTTGTTGTTGTAGTAGTAGTAGTAGTAGTAGTAGTAGTAGAAGTAGCAGTAGTAGTAGTTGTAGAAATAGTAGTACTTTTTTCTATGAATATCCCAAATGTCATCACCTGTATTTTTAAAAAAATAGACTAAAGGGAATCGAATAAAAACAAATCAAATTTAAACACTTGTTAAACGTTTACATGAAAACACAGTATAGATAATGATATACGATATGGATGTGGCATGCTAGCTCTATCATTAATAATATGAATAATATATTATCTTTTTATTGTCAGGTTTCATACATATTGTCAAAGTCGTACGTAATCAAGAGAGCCTGATGATTCGACGTGCCCCCATTTTGAAATGAAGTGGAGACTGGTCGACAAGGTCGATAAAGGATGTTAATGAGCATCGATTAGCCTCAAACGTATTTCGTGAAATGAATATTGATGTAGAAACAACCTGATTCATTGATCTACACTACTCCGAGTGAATGGCTGTTATTGAGTGGAAGGCAACCATTTGAATATGTCAGCAAATTCATGATGTGGGTATATTTGCTCATGTTCAGTTTATTGCATCATTAGTTTTTTAGCATAAGCGATTGTCAATATTAATTTATGTAGATGTTTAGATGTGCATTTTAATAAAGCGAATATGAAAATAAGAACAATCCGGAAAAACTATTCATGCTTTTCTTCCTCCTCCTCCTCCTCTTCCCTTTCTTGTTTACTCATGCTTAATTGTTTTTTGTTTTTCTCATTGCGATGTGCACGAGTCAGTATCACCCTCTTGCTCCAGATTGTCATAGTTTTGATCATACTTAAACAAAATAAATAAAGACAATATTTAATGTGTTTCTAATGAGGATAACAATTCGTGTAAACCATTACATGTACGTATATTAGGAATAGCAGGTTAAATCTTGAAAATGAAATGCTAATATCATGATTGACTCTCGGGGAAGTGTTATGCTGTAGAAGACAGGATGTTGATATGATATCCAGGGGCTTCTTACATTGCTTTCTTCTCATAATATATGATTCTAGAATACATCTACGAGATGCATGATGAAGACACCCCACGGGACCGACATCCCCG